GGGTGTGGGAGAGGGGATGGGCTAAATGGGGAAGGGGCACTAAGAGTCTATTCCTGAAATCATTGTTGCACTGTATGCTAACTAATTTGGATATAAATTTAAAAAACAAAATTAAAAAAAAACCTGAAACTTTCAGAGAAATAAAAAAATTAACAACAAACATTGATAAGCATGTGGAACAAGAGGCATACTCATACAGTACCGGTGTGAGTGTAAACTGGGAAAAGAGTGTGATATTATTTGTTAAAGTTGAAAATTCGCCTTCCCTATGACCTACCACTCCAACTTCCAGGAACAAATCCAAAACAAATGTATGTGCGTGTGCACCAACAGACAACTATGAGAAAATGTCCATCCCAGTAAGGACTGAGTAATGTACAGAATTGTTGAATCACTATATTAGACACCTCAAACTAATACAACATTGTTAATTATACCAGAATTAAGAAAAAAAAAAAGAGAGTACCTAGCTGGTTCAGTCAGTAGAGCACACGGCTCTTGTTCAATGAGTTCAAGCCCCACTTTGGGTGCAGAGATTACTTAAAAAATAAAATCTTAAAAAAAAAACAAAGAAAATAAAATACAATGTCCATCACCAAAAAACATTCATTAAGAGTAGAAGAGAAACATAAATTGCCATATATTCATACAATGAAATCCTATATGTCTATAAACCTAAACAGGCTACAGTTACACACATGATAGGTGAATCAGAAAAAAAAAAAAAAAAAAAAAAAAAAAACTTTCAATAAAGGCAACTAGATACTGAAGAATATATGTACTGAATGATTAAATTTCTTAAAATTCCAACAAGTAAACTGTAGTGTTCAAGGATATAGAGTAAAACCACAAAGCAAACCAAGGAAAGCAATACTATCAAGTGAGGAAAGCGGCTCTCTCTGATCAGGACCAACTAAGAACTTCTAAGGGGCAGAGAGCTATTTTTTGACAGTTTACTATTTACCAGCTGGTTACCCAGCTGCTGCTCTCTTTGTGATACAACACTGCATGGTACATTGTGTTTTGTTTATGTTTTATGTTTTTAAACTATTATAGAATGAGAAGGGTTAAAAAAGGAAACAAAAATGAAATGTCAAAATCAAAATCTAACTTGTGCTGGATCAGGTTATTCCCCCCTGATAGGAACCTAAAGGCTTTAAATGAAATTAACTGTTTGGGGCTGTGGGAAGTGCCCCACCACGGATGGGGGTGGGGGTGTTCACAGCCGAGAAGTATAATATTTAGGGACACTAGGGAAGCTAAGATAGAAAAGTAGAAAGTTTAACCAAGGTTAAAGAGCAAATCACTGATAAAAGTATAAAAGGATTATCTAATAAATTTTAAAGTATGTGTTTACTTTCCAACTCTTAACAACATCATGTTGCCTATTACCTTGGCAAACAGCAGAATGGAAAAACATGGAGAAAAGGTAACTGTAATATGTTATGCAAATTAAGTTGTGTATCACCTTCATATTTGTGAAAGTCAGGCTAACAATAAAAATGTTTTCTCCTCGGGGGGCCTGGGTGGCACAGTCAGTTAAGCGTCTGACATCGGCTCAGGTCATGATCTTGCAGTCCGTGGGGTCAAGCCCCACATAGGGCTCTGTGCTGACAGCTCAGAGCCTGGAACCTGCTTTGGATTCTGTGTCTCCCTCTCTCTCTGCCCCACCCCCACTCATGATCTCTCTCTCTCTCTCTCTCTCTCTCTCTCTGTCTCTCAAAGATAAATAAACATTAAAAAAATTTTTTTTTTAAATAACTGGGATGAGGGGCACCTGGGTGGCTCAGTCGGTTGAGCGTCCAACTTCGGCTCAGGTCAAGATCTCGCGGTCCGTGAGTTCGAGCCCTGTGTCAGGCTCTGTGCTGACCACTCAGAGCCTGCAGCCTGTTTCGGATTCTGTGTCTCCCTCTCTCTCTGACCCTCCCCCGTTCATGCTCCGTCTCTCTCTGTCTCAAAAATAAATAAACATTAAAAAAAAAAAATTTTTTTTTTAAATAACTGGGATGAAATATCTCCTTTAAAAAATAAAATTAATAAAATAAAATAATAAAAATACAATACAATACAATACAATACAATAAAATACAATAAAATGCTATTCTGGGGCGGCTGGTGGCTCAGTCAATTAAGCATCTGACTCTTGATTTTGGCCCATGGTTCGTGACATCAAGCCCCACATCAGGCTCTGCACTAAAAGCGTGGAGCCTGCTTGGGATTCTCTCTCTCTCCCTCTCTCTCTGGCCCTCCCCTGCTCTCTTTCACTGTCTCTCTCTCTCTCTCTCTCTCTCTCAAATAAATAAACTTAAAATGCTATTCTTTTAGCCAAGTACTATTCAACTAAATCTACAGCACTAGATAGGTCAAGAAACTCTACCTGCAATCTATTGACGTTTTGTGCTTCTTTCAAAGATACCACGTGTCCTTTGTTTTCCTGGACCATCATTTGTACTTGATTCTTCAGTTCCTTCACCTGCAATTCCTTCTGATTAAATACAACTTCATCAGCAGCCAGTGCACACTGGGAGGAGGGAAAGAAAGCACAAGAGATTCACCACAGAAAGTACTCCAGACAGCCCAGAAAATACCACAAAAACTGGGATTTCATGATGGTTTGACAATGTCTCTCGAAATTTTTCTCATCCTATTCATTTTCAATTTTTTTTGTATTCTGTAGAAGAAAGGCAGAAACAGTTCGAGGACCTGTCATTGCTATAACCTAAGAATTAATTACCATAAAGATACAAAGACTTTCCTGGTTTTTATTTCCTGAATTTTAAAACAAAAACAGTCACTTGATTTCTAGACTACACTCAGGAGGAGTTATTTTTACAAGTTTGCTAGAATTGCCATGAGATTTTTTTTTTTTTTTTTTT